AGTATATTTTGGAATTGAGGAGGGCTTGTTTAATATTTTTTTTTTTTTTTTTTTTTTTTGAAAGGAGAGAAGAGAGACGGGCTGATGTTGCAGCAGTGCTTACTGTATTGGCTTACAGTGAGGGGAGATGGGAACAGGAGCATAGTGTAGGATCAGTTCAGTGGCTTGCCTTTAGGGAAAACAGTTAGGTGTATGTTTTTTCTGTGGTTTTGTTGGTGTGGTTTGGTTTTCTTTGGTGCTTTTGGGTTTTTTTTTTAAGATGAACTTCAAGTTGGGTAATGTTTTGAATAAATATATCTTATCAAGAAATGAGTTCTGGAGTTCTGTTTGACTCTGGTTTCCTAGGAACCAAAACACACATTTCCCTCCCTTCACTGTCACAGTTTTGCCAATTTAATCCAAACTTGAAAGAGGAGGAGATACTGAAGACATTGAATTCTTGAATATTTCATAAAAATATGCAGCTGAGAAGAGGGGATAGAACTTATGATTGCCCCCTTAAGTGAAAAGGTTTAATGTGAGCTCAACTTGAGATCGGAATCGATCTAGGCAATGCTTTCAGTTAATGAATCCAGTGATAATGCTACACATGGAGCTATTGAAAATAACACTTTTCTCAGTACTTGATTTGCTGCTTATGTGCATACTGAAACTTGGGTTTTTTTATTGGTTGGTATTTTTTTTTCCTCTGTGCTGGATATCCTTTTCCTTCCAATTTTCAGTGGTATTTACTAGTTAATCATAGGTGCTTTTTCACCTAAACAGGGTGATCAGAATTATCACATCTAACTGTGAAGGGTGCAGTCTGATTCTGGTCTAACACAGCACAAGAGATGAATGATAATCATCCCATGGGATTTTCTGAAGAGCAGGAAAATAAAGTCATAGAGAATGTTTTGTCCCCTGGATTCTTAAACTGGTTGTAGCCTTGCAGTATCTGTGTTTTCCCAGCACTAAAAAAATTCCGGTGGTGTTGGAAGAGGAGTGGATTTGGCTCCTATCCCTACTGGTTTTAGTGCCATTTTTGCTGGTATAGAAAATGGAAAAAGGGGGATCTCTTGCAGAAATATTAAAAAAAAAAAAAAAAAAAATCTGATTTGAAGCTGAAATAAGGGGTAGGAAAAGACTTTGTTTCCTCACTCATCCTAAAGCACGTTTAGCCAAAACCCACATAGTTTGGTTCTTAAGTCCGATGGTTTGAATTTTTACTTTCCTTTTTGGAAACACAGCTAAACTCAAGACGCTTAACATGGCGGAAGGTGTGTATTTCGCAAGTTAGAGTGTATTCACTGTCAAGAGGTTTTCTGGCTTAGCTTACCTTAAAAAACCCCATATTGTCCATTTTGAACGAGGCTGGAGAGTTCTTTTCTGTACTGGCCAATCCTGTTCCTAGAAAGAGATCAAAGACTTTCGCAATTTTTGGCTGGATAGTGACCAAAAAAAAAAAAAAAAGAAGAATGAGTTGCGAGACTGTAGAGAGGTTGGAGCTTACCTAGTAAGAGGTGGGTGTGGGAGGAGGGGAGAGAAGCAGCTTGTGAATATTGGGAGATACAACAGAGTCTCAGCTGTGTTTCCAGCTCTTGAAGTCTGGTACTTACAAGCTGACTTAAGGTGAGGCGCTTTATTGTTGCGGAAATCCAGTGGAAAACAGATAAAGTAGCAGGCAGGATAAGGCCACTCTGAGGGATCTGAAGTGTTTTAGTAAGACAGAGCCTGTTTGCCAAATCCAAATTTTTTTACTAGGATTTCCAAGCAGTCTGTCAAGGATGACTTCCTAAAACATACTGCATGGACCATTGAGTCCCAAATGGTGTGCTTTTAGAAGCAGAGACTACACTTGAGTGGGTTACTTATTTAATGCAAGAAGCATTCGTGCAGGTCTTGCTCTGAAATCCACAGCGCTCACTAATTACAGCGCTGTTTTTCTGGGGACAGCTGGTTGTAGTTGGTACGTGTTACATTTCCTGGAGAAGACAGGATGAATATTCTGATGTGCACGGATGTGAAAGTCTCTAATACTTTCAATATCAATAAGTGGAACAGTTAAGTGAATTAATACTGGCTGTGAATGTGGACTTCTGGCTCCTTTTCAGCTTTTGGATACCCTCTCCTTTGTATCGTGTTCTCCTCCCTCCCCCCATTCCAGACACTGAGAAAAAGACCCATAACAATAGTTCTTACTGTTAACAATGCTTTTATTTTACTTCAAACCTTGATTTCTAACTGCTATTTTGTTTTATGCGTACGATGAGGTTGAGTCTGAGAACTGGATGTGTTGAAATCCTGTGTGCTGCTTCTGTGTTCCCTGAAGGGACTCTGTGTGTAGGCTACATGGTAGCTTCATGAGTGGTTTGAGCAATGAGGTGGTCATGCTGCCAGAAGGCGCTATCCTGCCATTCCCTTGCATGGTGGTGAGGTTGGTGTGTCTGCATGGGTTAGCTGAGACCTAGTTTGGGGAGCGGATTTTTTTTTTTTTCTTTTTCTTCTTTAAGTCAGATTTGCTTGAACATTTGGGAAGGGGTAGAACTGTCCCCTTTGGCAGCAGTAGGATCCGGTCAGCTTTGCTGCTTGTGGTGAAGCACCGCCTTTGGGGCTCTGACTACCCAGTTAAGTCAATCTGAAGATTGCTTCCCACCTTACTTTATACCCTATGAAGCATTTTTTCAAGCCAGGTGAATGTGCTAGTTGTAGATTTAGAAATTCCACCTTTCCCCAAGGAGGGGCCTGCCAGAGGGATGAAGGAGGGAAGTAGGACTGTCCTTTCTGTAACAGCAAGGTGGTAGTCAGGTTTAGTTGTTTTGTCAGTCCATATTGCTGGAGTTCAATAAATTACACGAATTTGCAGTAGCCTCTTTTGTGTGTGGATAGTAGCTATAGTTTAGTAAACGGAAGGAAATTGTTTTACACTTTAATGTTGATCAGTACTTCAGAGAAACTCAAGTTTTCTAACATAGAAGCTAGGGCAGTCATGGTATTTAAGTTCATCTTTCTGTTTTTGGTTGCGGTTTTTTTTAACTTCATGGTATTAAAAAATGGTGCTTTTTCCAGATAACTGTTGTTGTTCTTAATGTAGCTACCATTTAAAGCTTTGTACTGAGACCTGCAAGGTTTAATTCACAAGCCTGTGAATTAAACAAGTACATCATTCTCTGAAAGAAACGTTCCATGGAAGAACGTGCAGTCTTTGACATCAAAGACGTGGCTTTGTGAAGGCCATCTTTCACTATCAATTCTGTCCTCCCTTAATTCTAGGTCATCTTTGGAGTTCTGCATTACGTGCATGAGTGTGTGTGCACATGTATGTATATGTATCTATTTTATCCTAGCACTTCGTTCTTTCAAGTGACAGGCTAAAGTTTGAATTTCTGGATTACAGAAAAATGTGTTTTGGGCAAGTCCTGTTTGGGAAATGCGGTTAG